AGGGCAAGAACAAAGGAGCTTACAAGATATTCATCAAGAACTCCTGCCCGCTTGGATACCAGAGTGCAGCGGTGACGTATGTGTCCTGTGAGACTGAAAGCCATATTGCCAACCATGGGTTTGGATCCCTGGGTCAGATTCATGTGCCACCCATGATCCCGAGAAGCCTCAGGGCTAAGGATAGGGGATCACAGTGTGAGGAGACCCAGTTGAGGGTTCCCCCGGCTTTCTCTTTGTCTCTCTCTCTTTCTCTCTCATGCACTCTTTTTTTTATTAGAATTATTCCATTCAACTTTTACTTCTATCTTTCCTTATTTTAATTTGACCAGAGAGGGACAGAAACAGAGAGAGAGAGGAAAAGAGAGAAAGCAAGCAGCAGCAACAACTGGGACTCTAACTAGAGGCAGCCATGTGGGATTCCAAGCACCGTTAACCACCATGTCACCTACCTACACCTCTCACGCACTCTCTATAAATAGAGTGTGGCCAGCAGGAGGTATGGTGGTTAAGGTACTTGGTTCCCCCACATGGTTGACCACAGTTTGAGTCCTGGATCCAGCAGCTAGAAAATAATATTGGGTGCATGTATGTGCGTGCCCAGAATTCTGAGAGGAGAATGGAGAAGGGATTGTGGCTGGCTATCCCTCATGGGGGGAGGGGTTGATTTCTCACATTCCCTCTGTCTCTCTCCAGCGAGTGCATGTACCCTATGGTGAAGAGAGAGAGGGCCAGTATGTGGGCTGATGGTTAAGGAAGATGCATCCCTCATGGCCGACTACATGGCTCAAGTCCCTAACCCCACAGCTTGAAAAGCATGCTGGGCATATGTGGATGTGTGCGCCAAAGCCCCAAAGTAGTAAGAGATGGAGAAGAGATTGTGGTGTGACCATTTGCTATTGGGGGGTCGGGGGTGTGCTCTTTCCCCTTCTTGCAAGCACACAAACTCTCTGACAAATGAGAAAGAGAGAATTTACATTGGTCCATTTAAAATTATGCAAGCAAATGTGGTGTGGTGGTTAAGGCACTGGACTTCTATATGGGCAACTGCAGTTCAAATCCTGGACCTGACCATTTGCTTTCTCATTTTTCCCTTTCTCTCTCTCTGTCTCTCTCTGGTCAAATTTTAAAATGATAATACAAAAAAGAAATTAAGTAAATAAGTGTTTTTTTGTTTTTTTTTTTTAATTTTGCAGGCAGCTAAGTGACTAACTACACTTGACATCATGAACTGAGACTATTGCTTTGAAGAAAGGGCAGAGCCTTTAGAAGCGGACTTTGTTTACTGTTAACCAAAACATGCCTTTTGGATGATAACCCCAAGGGTATAGGGCCTGCAAGCACAGCCTCCTCACTAATGCCCCTCTTAGGGTTGCGAGACCTCACATTCCAGACTGCTTTAAACCGCTTGTCTTTCTCAAGAGTCTCAGGCAGGCAGTGTGGCACAGGCTTCGGACTCAGTTCCAGCCCTAAGACTCAGCGTTACTAACTGGGAAACTGACTCAGCACTCCTTGGCCTCAGTTTCCTCCCCTGTAAAATAGAAATTAAATAAGGCAATGCCTCTTAAATGCTTGGCACAGTGCCTGTCACCTCATGAGGTCTATATGCCATTGCTGCTGCGTTTATAATGATTGTTTGTGACTAGGTCTGTGCTGGAACACAGCAAGCGGCAGGACACACAGCTCTGGACACTCTAGGCTGTGAAAGTTACTACTGTAAAGACCTTTATTTATTTGGTTTTTTTTTTACTTTTTTTTTTAGAGGTTTTTGCTATAGGGTGCGTGCGCTCGCCAGACAGACAGAGAGAGAGAGAGATAGAAAGCAAGAAATCACCCCCTAGGGTGGATGGCCACGCCGCAATCCCTTCTCCTCCATTCTCCTCTTGGGATCTTGGGCGTGCATGCACATGCGCCCGGCGTGAGTTTTAAGCCACTGGGTCCAGGACGCGAACCCGGGTCGACTATGTGGGAGTCCAGCGACATAGCCATTACGCTAACTGCTGGTCCCAAGACCTTTATTAATCCAGTTTGTAATAGATGAGTTTGTTGAGCCAGCAGGTGGCATGGTGGTTAGGGTGCCAGATCCCACATGGTGGACTATGAAGTTCAAGCCCCAGATCCAGAGACTGGAAAATCACGTGAAGCGTGTGCGTATGTGCGCACATGCCCAAAATCCTGAGAGGAGAATGAAGAAGAGATTGCAGTGTGGCCATTCCCTAGAGGATAACTTCTCACTTTCCCTCTCTCTCTCCTTCCCTCTGTCTCTCTCCAGCAAGCACACATGCCATGTAGTAAATTTAAAAAAGAAAAGAAAAAGAAAGAAAGAAATGTAAGGGGTCCAGTGTTCAGACAATGGTGAATAAATGATTCTCCTTGGGAAGTGGATGGATCTGGAAGACAAATAATAGTTCTTGACCAAACCTGTGCCTGTTCCTGAATCTTCCCTCCTGTGATGAGCTCGGTTAATGAAAATTCAGGGAAAGGACTGAAGGTAATTGTTTTCTTCTTTGTAGGTCAGGTCTATAGGCCAGTAATGGGATCTCACAGTAAATTCCCCTGTCCTTTGACAAAGAAAGAAAATCAGATGATCGAAAGACAGATGAAATGAAAGTCACAGACGTTGGTCCTGAGGCTGTTTCTCCAACCCAGCAAGTCAAAACACCAGTCTTCAGGATAATATCGTCTGAGCCCAACACAGTCAACACTTTGCTGTTGTTGAATTGGCAGGAGGCACACGCACTTACCAGAGAGAATGAGGAAGAAAAGGAGAGAGCAAGCACCCCCTCCCAATGGGGCATGGCCATGCCGCAGTCCTTTTTCCTCCATTCCTCCTTCCCATCAAGATTTTGAGCACACACACACACATGTCTGACATGTTTTCCAAGAAACTGGGGCCAGGATTCAAACCACAATTGGCCCTGTGGGATCCAGCTCCTAATGCACTGCACTTAACTGCTGGGCTACAGGGCTGGCCCTCAATGCATTGTATTCAACAAAATTGGAGGAAGGCCTAGACCAATTGCCAGCTGGAAATCATTATTATTATTATTATTATTATTATTATTATTTTAACTATGGGGTATGTGTGCTTGACGGTCAGAGAGAAAGAGAAAGAGGAAAAGTGAGAATTCACTCCCCTGGGATCCCTTCTCTTCCATCCTCTTCTCAGGATTTTGGGCACACGTGCACACATGTCCAGCCTATTTTCCAAGGTGCCAGTTCCAGAATTCGAACCACATAGTTGGCTATATGGGATCCAATGCCTTAGCCACCATGCCACCTGGTCGGCCATGCGTTAATTTATTTTTTAGACAGAGATAACAATTGATTTTTGGCCTACAATTTAGAAGGAGTGCAAAGAATTAAGGGACATGGCTACATGGGTATTCTTTGGACTTTTTTTTTTTTTAAAGAGGTTTTTGCTATAGGGCACGTGCGTTCGCTGGACAGACAGAGACAGAGAGATAGAAAGCGAGAAATCACCCCCCCAGGGGGGATGGCCATGCCGCAATCCCTTCTCCTCCATTCTCCTCTCGGGATCCTGAGCACGCACGCACATGCGCCCAGCGCGAGTTTAAGCCACCGGGTCCGGGACTCGAACCACGGTCGACTACGTGGGAGTCCAGCGAAATAGCCATTACGCTAACTGCTGGTCCCTCTTTGGACTCTTATCTAATTAATTATGCGAACATATTTTCTTCTTGCTTGCATCAACAGAGGTGGGGGTGAAATTTTAAAAACAAACTTCAGAAAGTGTATCAGCAACAATTTTGTGCCAAAAACATTTAAAGTGAACAAATTCCTCTAAAGAAAAAAAATGACAACTTGCTGAGATGGACACACGAAGAAATAATGAACATGTGGACCAGCAGATGACGTAGTGGTTTCATTGCTAGGCTCCCCTGAGGTAGATTGTGGTCTGGATGCTAGACCGGGCCTTAAAACACTCACAACCAGGACAAGCAGTTGGCACAATGGCTGTGACGCTGGACTCCCATGTAGTTGACCACAGTTCGAGTCCTGGACCCACTGGCTTAAACTCATGCTGGGCGCATGTGAGTGAGTTCCCAAGATCCCAAGAAGAGAGTAGAGGAGAAGGGATTGTGGTGTGGCCATCCCCCCAGGGGGTGATTTCTTGCTTTCTTTCTCTCTGTCTCTCTGGCGAGCACACATGCCCTATAACAAGAAGAAACCTCTCCCAAAAAGAAGAAGACAAAACAAAATGAAACAAAACAAAAACACTCACAACCAGGCATCCAGTCCATGCGTCTTCTTCTCTATGGGTACAGCGTACTTGAGGCCCCGCTGGGCTGGTAGGCGGTGAGAACGTGGCCAGCCCTCCCACTGCAGGCAGCTGAGAATCCAGTACTTAGCGCAGTCCACCCATGACCCTTCTTGTCCCTGAGTTATCATTTGGATGTGAAATCACTTTTCTAACCTCCCTTACAGAAGACTGTTGACATACTAATTGAGATGATTCCAGCCGGCTGATTTGCAAAACGCTTCAGGTTCAAAGAATTTCCTTTTGTAAAAACTTTGACAAGATGGCTACTAGAGATGCCTAAAGTACTCCCCTCTCAAGATAAAAGGACCCAAACAGAAAATAAGTAGCTGGTATTCATTGCCGTGTTCCAGGGAGAGTGTCGGAGTACAGTGTGGGTGTGGTAGAGACACTTGCATGGCCCTGAGACTCAGGAAGGACTTGTAGAGAGGGGAGCAACGAGCTCGGCATCTCCTGCCCCATCCCCTGAGTCAAGATTGGCTAGGAACTAGAAGAGACTTCTTGTTTTCGTGACAGAATC